TAAACGAATTCTCAGGCCAAGCGTCTTTTGCGGTCACAAAAATACTAAGCTAGTCTCAGTGGACACCAACTACATATGTCTGACTGAACGTTGCTTCAGTGTGCTCCAATGTTCGTTGTTGAAATGATTGCAGCCAGCAGCTTTAATGGTTTTACTTTTCATTTCGTTTCATTCACGTTTTCTTCATACCTATAAAACCAGCACTATGAGATGGAATGCGTCTATTCGCACTGAAGGGGTGCTACACAATTGTGATAATTAGGAGTACGCAATAGTAACTGGAAATGCACTTAGCTCAAAATCACAACTAGTTTCTACGCAGTAGTAATGATGCGTCATGTTAGCCAACGAAATGGTAATCTAGTCAGTATTATGTACAAAGTGATTATTCGTGTAGTGAAACAACAGTAGCACACAATGTTCAGTTGAGAAATATGATTGTTACAGTAATCTACAAAGAAATTACAAATCTCTTTCTTTTCTAGCAAACTGCTGTGAGATAGACGGGCGATGTTGGTGACGAGTTCCGGGGCCATACAGTGATGGAATGTGCTAATTGTATGTGGTCGATATAGTGTAGTGACCCGTTGATTTCATTGGCCAGCCTGCGGTATGGTGTGTAAAATAGTTCAAAAACTCATATTTGCATATTGTACCCAGGCTATTAAGAATGTTCGCATGATGCATGCTGTAGCGACCGTATTCGTCATTGTCAACTATGTTAGAGCCACGAGCGCCATTTGTACTCTTTTTGTTTCCAACTCGAATGTCTTATCAGAGCGCGTGAGAACGCGGAATGGACCTGTCTAGGGCAGGTGTAAAGGTCGTTGAGAAGTAACCATACGCACCAAAACGTGAGAACAATTTGACAGACGAGGATCTACGTACGTTGGCGTCGTCTGTTCCTTTGACGGGGTCGATCAGAATCGTCTTATGTGCTTAGCCAACCGCTCACCGCAATCCGCTAGGTTGATGGGTCCCGTTGCGCGTGGGACAACTATCTTTCCGGGTAAACGTAAGGAGCACCCATAGACTAATTGGGCGGGAATGGTATGCAGATCGGCCTCCAATGTGTTTCGGATATTAACAAAACTAATGGTAGGACATTGTGCCACGAAGGGTTGTTGCCAGCGGATAACGAACTTTTCAAATGCCGATCAGAACGTTCAACTAACCCGTTGGCTGCCGGATGGTAAGCTGCGTTGCGAATTCGACTACATCCTGGTGTTTCTAGAAGTGACGTGAAGGTTAAGTCAAAATGTGACCCGCGATCGGTGGTCGCTACGGCGCGGCAGCCAAATTCGGCAGGCCAACATTCCAGGAATGCTCTTGCGACGGTTTCCGATGAACAATTCGTAATTGGTATAGCTTCTGGACAACATGTAAATTTATCTACACACGTCAAGATATATTTACACCCAGTTGAGGGTGGCAAATGTCCGACTAGGTCAACATGTGCGTGATAGAAACGTTCGTCGGGGGCTGCAAAACTCCCTACTGCGGTACGTGTGCCACGATGAATTTCAGACTGTTGGCATTGTATGCACGCCTTGGCTCATGTACGGACATCGCGATTGACCTTGCGCCAGACAAAGCGCTCGGTGACCGTTTCGACTGTTGAACGTATGCCTGGGTGAGACATGTGCAAAGTTTCAAAAATTCGGTGGTGAATAACCAATGGAATAACCGGGCGAGGGATTTCTTGCGAAGTGTCACAAATAATCATCCTTTCGGAGGAATTCATAGGAACGCTCCCCAGCCTAAGGGAACCGGACCGACGAAGTATTATTATCTCCGGATCGCTGTCCTGTGCAGCTGCAATGGCTGATAGATCGATTGAGCTGTCTGTCATGCTCGTTGTAGCATTGATGCACGGGAGAGCATCGGCGATTGGGTTCGCTACACCTGAAATGCGACGGATATTGGTCGTGAACTGAGCGATATAATACAGGTGTCGGGTCTCTTTAGGGAAGTGCCTGTCGGTTGTCGAGCGTAAAGCATACGTTAGCGGCTTATGGTCTGTGGAAACGATGAAGTCCCTGCTTTCAAGGACGTGTCGGAGATGGCTGATGTCAAGATATAACGCCAACAGTTCCTTTCCGAAAGCACTATACCGCGACTCAGTTGGTTGTAAACGTTTAGAGAAAAAGGCTAGTGGGCACCAGTCGTCACAGGGTTGTTGTTGCAGGACTGCTCCTACAGCCACGTCTGATATATCCACAGTGAGCGCTAAAGGAGCGGACGGATGATGATGTGACAACGATGCTCCATTGGTGATAGCTATTTTGAAGTAATGAAGGCATTTTTGTGACTGTTGTAAAAAAAATGAAACTTACCTCTGAGCAGGTCGGTGAGCGGTTGCATGAAGTGTGCACAATTAAGAATGAAACGACGAAGGAGTCCGAGCTCCCGGTGAGGCTTCGTAGCTCAGCGTGCAGGGCGATTTTCGCATTTAGGCATGCTGTTTCTGTCGCTGGTTCGAATCCAGTCGAAGCTCTGACTTCACAGTTGATTTTTATCTGAAATCAAATTAAAGCAGTTATTGTGCATCACAATTATACGGGCACCTTGAAGCAAAATTGCTGAAGGCGCTCAAAAAAGGAATATACATTCTTCTCGCTCACTTTATGTAAAGCTAATATTTGCTATTTACGAAACAGCTTAGTTGTGATTATTACCTTTCGAACAAGCTTCGTGAATAGTGACAATCGAACCCAATTCTCATCAGCCTGCTATTCCGCCTGCCCAACAAACAAACCCTAAATTCAGCCCGTATGGTCTAGATCCAGTCTGCGCACCATAGGTCGGTGGATAAGTGTTCCGCTGCATAAGCCACACTTTAGCCATTGTATACTAAGCAGTAATCTTCTTTAAGCGTCCGATGTTTAGTAGTCATTAGGCATCAGGACAACTTTTACTTACCAGATCAATTTGAATATTCTTCAGATGTTGATAGTCAACATACACCCCAAATTCCGCACATTTTGTAATTATTTGTCGACACAAAGGGCAAAATATATCTGTACAAATACGGAAGGTGTATGAATATATTTGACTTCATCATAAGTAGGAGTTGCAGTACAGGTAACCAGCACTGACTTCTCGGTGATGCTTCCATTATAACGTTCTTATCAAACTTGTGAATTTTATCGTCCTACACCTTATAGTCTAAGAAATACTGCTACTCAAAAACGTTTACACCGAGAAGGTGCGTATTATAAAGTTTGACCAGTTGTTCGAACGTACGATTCAATCTACATTCACCATTAGGGTGATCTAGCTTAGGGCCAAGTAAGATGAAAATCCACAGAAAAAGCGAACGGATCAGTGATCGAGGTAAAGTGCCGGGTTTATCACTAGGCTGTTAGTATAATGCCGTCTTGGTGCACAAAACGCACAGATGGCAGTCTAGTATATGTGTTAGACACATCCATTGGTTGTGTAAAACTTAAACCGAAGCGTGAACCGTTCAAATGGAAGTTCAATTACAGGTTTGAGTCAGACGGCGTGGGCCATAATACAGGCGAGGTTAAGCAGAAGAAAGGATGTGAACTTGTTAAATGTTGCTGTTGACACAACTCTACACGGTATACATCCCAGTCAAACGGGTAGGTATCATTCAAGTCTATATGCTACTTGCTTGAAATTTGATAGTCCTTTAAAGCGTTATACTACTGTTGTGTGACAGGCAGTTTCGTTGTTAGCAGTATGCTACTCACAAGTAGTATATTACAAACAGGCGACATCCAGGAACAAGATGGAAAGCTCCGAACACCAGGAAGAAGACAGACAAGAAGAGACTGCTGGAATAGTGCGTACGCGCTACGACAGAAGTTCCACCAAGGCGAATGACAATGTACTGTTACCCAATGTATGTGAATGCATGTCTGCCGTGCAAATGAGTGTACGCGTTTGTGGTCTGATTTATGACGTGATTTGTACGGGAGATTGCGCAAAATACGAATTCATGGGCCAGGTATATGTGCCGTGATGAAGATACGCTGGCCGGAGCCGTTCGAAGATGGAGACTCACGGACTTTCCAGGAGAACTTGGAGAACGTGGACGAAGGGGTCGGAGTAAAGACCGACCGTGGGAAGCTGGCTGCTCTGCTGACGCCAGTGAGGGGTAAAGCAAAGGCGGTGCTGGATGCAGCGCGAAGAGGCACTGCGAACATGGAGTGGGCCGCTGCGAAGGAGACGCTAGAGGCTGCGTTTGACAGCCTGGCCGACCGCCAGGAGGCCATGCGGCGGTTCAAGGCGGCCAGGTTTGTACAGGGAGTGGATCCATCCGTGTTTGCCGTCACTCTGCAAGGTTTGCTGGACATGGCTCTGCCAGAATTGGATCAAGACCCACGGCGACAGTTGTTAACGGAACAGTTTATTAAAGTTCTCCCGATGGCGGTTTGCGACCAAGTCCGTATTGCCCATGTCACCTGGTCGATGGACCTTGATGAGCTTGCGAAGGTGACGCGGAAGTTGGCAGTAATATCCGTGGCCTCAGTGGAAGATACTGGAAGAAATGCAGAAAATAGTGGAGCAACTCGCAACGGATGTAGCTGCCTTGAGAACGGTATCACGAGAGAACGATCGACTGCTTCATCTGCGGAAAAAAGGACACTGGAAAGAGGATTGTCCAATTTGACGGTTTACGAAGCCTAGAAATAAAGTATTTCATGATTGTTCTTTCTGTTGGACGGGTCAACTAGTAATGAGAGCGATTGAAAATGGGGCCCTACATACATGGGGTGAAGTTGACGGAGAGATAGAACAGTGTTTGATTGATACAGGGGCGGCTATTTCGCCGATTGCTCGTGCAGGAAGGCAGAACGTAGAACCGACATCCATGACGATCAGGACGGTTGTAGGTCATAGTCTACTGGTTGACGGTGTGAAATAATGTGGGGTAAGTATCGGCGGGCATATCGTAAAGCCTCGTTTCATTGTGTCCTCAGAAACCAGGTAAACGATCCTTGGAGCCGATTTCCTCGCTGCAACAGAGGCCGTGATTGACTAGAAGCTCAAAAAGTTGTCAATCAGGCATGGCTCCTTGACATACACAGGTCAGCAACAGAATGGCATCAACCAAGTACGAAAAGCTAATACCCCCATTTGCACAGCCCCTTTAATCTAGTCCATGGTCGAGAAATATGCGGAAGTATTTGCAAACGACGATAATCCGTACGGATTCTGCAACTGGATTGAACATTAAATACCAGCAACCGGAATATTTCGACTTCACAGGCCCATCCGGATACCGGTTCAACTTGAGGAGGAATTAAAAAGGCAAGTACAGAACATGCTAAAGGCGGATGTAGTTGGAAAAGCCAACAGTCTGTACAACTCGCCTGTTCTCCTGGTGAAGAAGTCCAACGGGAAGTACCGCTTTCCTGTGGATTTTAAACGGCTGAATGGTGTAACACAGAACACAGTCGTACCAATACCGTCCGTCACTGTTATTTTTGACAAGCTGCAACAAGCGAAGTTGTTCACAGTATTGAACTTAAGTTCCGGATACTGGCAGGTAGCGATCACACCCACGGATCGTGAGAAAACAGCATTCACGGTAGGCGATAAATAGTATCAATTCAAGCGCATGCCGTTTGGCCTATCCAGAGCACCGTTCACATTTTGACGCTTGATGGTTCAGTTGGTAAAGCGACTGGATAATGTGGCGGTATATGGACATGATATCATAATATACAGTAACACAGAATCGGAACATGCCGCCCACATAGATGCTGTCTTAAATCGCATTAAGAACTCAGGACTCCGGATCAATGCCGAAAAGTCGCAACTCGGACGGTCATCGGTGGTGTTACTGGGACACAAAGTGGGCCAAGGTGAAATTAAGCTTCTACCAAAGAAAATATTGACAATTAAAGAGGCTGTGGCTCTGAATTCTATACGAACGCTGAGACAATTTTGGTTCAAGCAGGGTACTACAGTTGGTTCGTGAAAAAGTTTCACTCCCTTACATCGCCATTGTATGAACTCTTTCGAAAAGGCAGGAAATTTGAATGGACCGAAGATGTCCAGAGGGCGTTCGTGCGAGTGCAACCAGCGATGAACCAGCAACAACTGACGCTGAAACTTCGGATACAAAGGAACGTTCTTTGTGGCAGCAGATGCCAGTGACCGTGGCATCGGGGCAGTACTCAAGCAAAGGGAAGGAGTAATTGAATATGCCAACAGGGTCCTGATCCCAACGGAGCAGACGTATTCGACCATTGAAAAAGAATGTTTGACAATCGTCTGGGCACTGGACAAGTGGAGGCCGTACCTGTTGGATCAACAGTTCTACGTGGAGACGAATCACAAACCCCGAGAGTAGATCAGGACTTCGAGGGACCCGAAAGGCAAATTAGCCCGATGGGCATTGCGTTTACAGGAATATGACTACACGATCAGGCATGTGCCTGGTTCGAGCAATTGCGTCGCGGATTCTCCTTTTTAACCGCGGACAGACAACGAACTCCCCAAGATGACCTTTGAAGTCAACGGCTTGGTGATGGAGCAGGACCCACAGACAGTAGTGCGTCTACAACAGCAGGACAAGGTCCTCCGGAAGGTGACTGAAGCTCTGACAAAAGGCGTAAGAATCCCCACAAGTACTAAGGATGAAGAGCTAAAGATAATCGCATCCCAATTGAGAAGAGTTGGCTCGAATAGTGCGGGTGTATTGAAATGACAGTTTGGCGTTGGGCGTCCTTGCGCGATAGTCATCCCGAGGCAACTGAGGAGGAAACTGGTGGCAGACTGCCACGAAATGGCACATACGGGATGCACTAGGACATACGATCCGCTGCAAAAAAGAGCATATTAGCCGAAGATGATATAGGATGTGACAGCTCACGTGTTTGCATGCTAACAATGCCAGTTACTGAAAGGCGACAGTCGGGGAGCTCAACAGACCTCACAGCCAATGCAAGTCTCCGAAATCAGTGAACTCCGATCGATGGACCTTATGGGCCCAGTTCCACTGGGCGCCCGCGGCAACCAGTACATTCTGGTCATGACAGAACACTTTGCCCGTTAGGTCGAAGCGACTGACGTTCCGGATCAAAAAACATCTACGGTGGGAGACATGGTGATGAAGCACATCGTAGCAAACCACAATGTACCGAAGGCGATCTTGACAGATCAGGGACCATGCTTTGAAAGCAAGGAGTTTCGAATACGCATGCAACAACCGATAACTAAGCGCATCTGAACGATGCCACAAACGAATGGCCTAACTAAACGTAACAACCAAACGATCAAAGTATGGTTATCAGCCAAGGGAGGTGACTGGGAGTCTGCGTTGCAACTGGTGGTATTGGCCCACCGGGCGTTTGTGCAGGCGAGCACGAAGAAATCTCCATTTCAATTGATATACGGTAGAACTCCTCGACTTCCGATGGATCAAGATATTGGAATATTATCAGAGTGCATTGATTCCACTAAAGACCTGGTTGCCAAAAGAGAAAGAGCCAAACGAAATCTGAAAGCATCGCCGGC